GGGTGAGGGCTGGCAGAGGACATCCCCACACAGAGGACATCCCCACACACACACCTCCGGCAGCGCTCCGAGAGGAGCGGAAGTCACTTCAAGGGTTCAGAGCGGCCAGAAACCTCTCCCAGCAGGGACGGGGACCCCGCGGTGGGGCTGCGGGCACCCAGTTGTTTTTCTCTCCTCCCCTGCACTGCACCCCATGCAGTTTTCGAGGGACAAGCTCTGTGGCTCTCCTTGCCTCAAGGAGGCTCTGCAGCCTCCCTGCCGGCCCTCGGCCCCTGGGGTGGAGGTGGGCTGGGGTACATGTGCCCTAGGAGAATGGGGTGGGAGAGGCCTAGCACGCCCCCTGACTCCCTGGCTTATGGCTTTGGTGGCACCTCAGACTGTGGAGTGGGGGGTAGTGGGGTGGCCAGCCTTTGGAGGTCACAGACACGGGGTCGGTGGCACGTGATGAGGCGCAGGCCTGGCTCAGGGAGTGGTGCCCACAGCCCTTGGCTCCTCCCCTGGGGCCGCCCCGCCCCGCGCGGGAGGGGACGGGCGGGGACCAGCGTGGGTAGGCGCGGCGACCCGCAGGGCCAGGTGCAGCACTCGGGAGTCCGGGGTCGCGGCGGCCCGGGAGGAGCGTCCGGTCTCCGGCCCGCCTGTGCCGTCCCCGCGCCCTGTCCCCGGGACGCCGAGACCCTCGGAACCCAGGTAACCCCTGGCGGGACCCCCCGCCGCGCCCGGCCTCCCCACCTCCGGGTCCACGCGCACCCGCCTGCCGCGGCCGGCCCTGCGCGGGTGGAACCCGGGTGGCCGCTCCCAGGGCGGGTCTCGGAAAGTTTGAGCCGGGGCGGCCCTGACCCGGCGGCGGGCGGCGCGGCCACTTTCGTCGCACGCGGGGCCGGTGTGAAGGTGGGGCGGCCGCCGCCTTGCACAAGGCTCTCTGCGGCCATCGGGGTGCGGGGAGGGGGAGGTGTCTGGCCTGGTCGCACCTTTTCTCTCACTCTCCAGGGCGTTTGCGCCGCTCACCGCTCACCTTTCCTCCACCGCCCCGCCCCCGCCACCCCCACTTTAATAAGCCTTGGATTGGGGCTGCACAGTTGGCGACTTCTTTACATCTGGGCTTCCCGCCTCCTGAGCCAGATGTGAGCCGGGGCTGAGCGGGACAGTGTGGGTGAGGGGCGGCCCTCTACCCGTGGGGGTCGGTCCCAGCCCTACCGAACTGGGTGCCCAGCTCCAAGGAGGTCCCCATGCTCTGTCACTGGCCTCCCCGCTGGCCACAGCCCCCAGCTGAGCATCTCTTGGGCTCCCCCAGCACTTCCAGTCCCAGTGGGAGGAGCCCAGGAGAGGGGGTGGACCCCAGCCCAGCAGAGCCAGAGCTCAGGAGCCTGGTAACTCTCATCCATGAGCAGAACCGGCTTCCTCCCGCTTAGGGTGGGAGGAGGGCTCAGCTTAGTGGGGGTCGGGGGGGGGGTGACAACTGCCCCTTCCCACGCAGAGCCAGAAGAGATGGGGAGAGGTCAGGGGACCTGAGAAGGGCTGGCAGCCAGCAGGGACACATCCCTGATGTCATTTGGCAAGTAGATATTAGCACATGGCAGATGAGAACACAGGAGGCCCGGTCGAGGCACAGCCCTTTGCTGGAGAAACTGATGGACTTTTCTCCACACTGAGTGGAGGACGCGCCGCCACAGCCTTCCAGAGCCGAAGGGTTGCTTCTGCATTCTTGCAGTGCCCTCGACTCAGCAGGGGTTTGTTTCTTCCCCCATACTCCCCACCCCACTAGGTTCTTTCTGTGAAAGGGGTTCACGGGACGGGGCATCTCCAGGCAGACACAAACTCCAGTCAGGAAAGGCCTCCAAGAGCCAGCCAGTGCCTTGTTAAGCTCTCAGAACTGAAGGAGGGCAGGGACCTGCTTTGTTTCCTGCCGTAGCCATAGTACCTGGCACAGGGAAGGTGCTCTGCCAGAATGGAGTGAATTCGCCTGCAACAGCAAAGCTTCTTTTCCAGCTGCCTTATCTGTGCCCTTGGCAAGCAGAAAGGGCACTCTGAAAAGCTGGATCAGAAAGGTGTTGAGCTCCACCACTGAGATTCCTTGGCACCCTTACCCACGTGGAGTAACTTTTTCTCCTTACACCAAGAGCACATCCTTAATCCTATGTGCTTTTCTTTCTTTTCTTCTTTTTTTCTTTTCTTTCTTTCTTTCTTTCTTTTTTTTTTTTTTTTTTTTTTTGAGACTGAGTCTTGCTCTGTCACCCAGGATGGAGTGCAGGGGCGCAATCTCAGCTCAGCACACTGCAACCTCCGCCTCCTAGGTTCAAGCAATTCTCCTGCCTCAGCCTCCCGAGTAGCTGGGATTATGGGCGCCCAACACCACGCTTGGCTAGTTTTTGTGTTTTTAGTAGAGACAGGGTTTCACCATGTTTGCCAGGTGGGTCTCAAACTCCTGACCTCAGGTGATCCACCTGCGTTGGCCTCCCAAAGTACTGGGGTTACAGGAATGAGCCACGGTGCCCAGCCCCCATGTGCTTTTCCAGAGAGACAGGGGACTTTGGATTTATCCTCAACCCACATCTCGTCCTGCCAAGGAGAGGCAGGGGCTGGTGGGTTCCATGCCCAGCTTAGCCTCACCCTAGACTGGAGGCAGAGCAACTTTGTCTCTTGACATAGAATTCTTACCCATCCCTTCAGGGGTAAGAATTGGAATTACTTGGAAATTTTAATCTTCATTGCCTTCTCTCTCTCTTTACCACTCCATGGGGCAGCTATGAATTGGGGGAAGAGAAGCTGCTTTTCTGGGCCTCAATTTCCTCATCTGCAAAACGAGAACAACAGACCCTGCATGGTTGTAGGAGATAGAAAGTGATTCCAAAGGGCTCTGCAGGCTGCGAAACAAACTGTAAGAGCGGACTGTTATTTTCTTGTGTGTGTTCGCCTGGTCTCTCCAGTTGGCTGTAAGTTCTTTCGCAGCATCTTGGCATCCCTCACTCATCCTGAGCACACAGGTTTGCAAGACATATTTTCGAAAATAATCCCTACAGGAAGAGAAATTGTGAATTCATAAGAAATCAGGGGAGGTTTTTGTTTTTTTAGCCCATCATCCTTGCATATAGACATATGTGTATACACACACATGCGCGCGCACACACACACACACACACACACACTTTGAGACAGGGTCTTGCTCTGTCACCCAGGCTGGAGTGCAGTAGCACGATCTCTGCTCACTGCAACCTCCACCTCCCGGGCTCAAGCTACCCTCCTCACCTCAGCCTCCTTAGTAGCTAGGACTATAGCACGCACCATCGTGCCTGGCTAATTTTTGTATTTTTTGTAGAGGTGAGGTCTCACCTTGTTTGCCGTCCAGGCTGGCCTCGAGCTCCTGAATTCAAGCGATCTGCCTGCCTCTACCTCCCAAAGCACTGGGATAACAGGTGTGACCCACCGTGCCCAGCCAGAAATGGGGAATTTCAAATCCCTCTCCCTCCCTCCTCATGTGAGGGAAGGGGACACCCTGCCACGCAGGGGAGGGTCAGTTGGAGGGAAGGAAGGTTCTGAGAGCCCCTGTAGGTAGAGGTGGCCAGTGTCTTGTTCATCGAAGGCCAGGGCAGAGTGAAGGATGTAGAAGAGTCCCTGGCAGTGCCCTGAGGATGCCGCCCACCCTGCTTTGAAGAAATCCTCCCCTCAGTCAGGACTTTTGAGGCCCTGCCCCAGGAACCCTGTGTGACCCCTGGGCTCCTCAGCAGACCCAGGTGTCTGTCTTTGACCTGAGGACAGGCCAGCATGCCAAGATTGGTCAGTTCTGTTCCCTGGGGGAAGCCGCTGAGAGACTGACTGGGGCTCAAGCCCGTGCACAAACCTACCACCCCCGCCATCCCCAAGAGCTGTCCCTGTACTCACACATGGCCCTGCCCATTCTCCTGCCACCATTCTTGGCTCCTACCAAGGATCCAGCAGAGCAAGAGGTTTAAACCCAGAGCCTCTAAGCTGGACTAAGACTTAGCAGCTGTGTCCTCCCGCTTCTTCTCCGCTTCATTTCCCATAGCTCATATCCCCTTCTGACAGCCTATAGATTTCCCTCTTTAATCTTGTTTGCCATCTGTCTTCCGTGTTAGAATATCAGCTCTGTGAGGGCAAGGCTTTCCATCTCTCTCGTTCCCTGGTCTATCCCCAGGGATCAGAATGTAGTAGGTACTCAGTTAACATGTGCTGAGTAGATGAACACATCCAACGCGCCCGTTCTGTTTACAGATGGGGAGACTGAGACCCAGAGGCGAGCAGTGACTCTTGGAGGCAGAGCTGGAGCTTTTCCTAATTAGACTCAAGTGAATTTAAAGTTGGGTCTCTGTCCTCCACTTTGAATTACCTTGGTTGCTAGGGGTGCTTAAGAGGCTCTTGGCGAACAACCTTCAGGACAGCTGCCTCCAGAGTTACCCAGAGGGGCACCTCCCAGACTGAATGGACAGCTGCCATGTGTGGTGATTGGAGAGTTCCAGGGAGGAATCATCCCTATCAGACCTCCGTCCTCAAAGGAAACCTTCCAGGGCCGCTCTCCCAAGGCAGCCAGTTCTCTGCCAGTGAGTTCTCCCTTGGTGAAAATAGTGCCCTCTGCGGGTAGCCTTTAAAAATTCCCCAGTGCAATTAAAAAAAAAAAAAAAGCACATCCAATAAATAAATAAACTCCTCAGTGCACCGCAGAGCTAAGGAAGTCCAAAGCCAGGCTCCAGGCAGCCCTGGGAGAAGGGGTGGAGTTCCCATGGACTTGGGCTAGGGATAAACAACCAGTCTGAGAAGTGCAGCCAGAGGCCCAGGGAAGCCTTGGAGCTCTGAGGCCTCATTTAGGAATCTGGTGAGAGAAGCTGGAGGCCTCGGTGCTCAGCATGCCGCCCCCGCCCGCACCACCCCGCGGAGGAGCAGATCTTGTACAGACCTCTACGTTTCACCCATGGGGAGCTTCGGCTTCTTCCCCCAAGCCCTGCTATTGACCCCAAACATCTTTTTCCATCGTCATTGCGGTTTGCCGAATTCAGGGTTGGAATGCACGGGAACCTTGGAGTTGGGGGAGGGACTCCAGAACTCAGGCACTGCAGGATATGTAGGAGTTTTCCAGCTTGTTGGAAACTGTTAAGAAGGAAGCGGGGCAGGCAGGTGAGGGGGCAGTGATAACGCTTGGCCAGAAGAAACGGATCTGTAATGGGGCCTTCTGTGACTGCGACCATCGTAGCCCTCCCCTACCCCACCGTCCTTGTCCCCAACCACTGTGTGTGGGCTCCTTGCTCCTGAAGAGGCTGAAGCGCTGACCTAAGACAGAGCTTCACGCACCGCTGCCCTGGCCTTCTTTTTATTACCACGGTTACTACGAGTTTGCTGACTTCTTCAGCCACAGTGGATGGAAAAGCACGCCTGTTGCAACATGATGTGAGTCAGTTGTTCATAAATAATGGGATTGCACCGTCAGCTCTGGTGCCCTGGTTTCTGGCTCACGGTTGGAGACATGGTGTGGGCTCCTTGGCGAAAAGGGTAAGGGTGACCCTGGACGTCAGTTTGAAATTAAGCAGGATGGCTGTGAGGATCCAGCAGGTGCGAGAGATACAGTCATTTTTGGCATCTAGCAAAAAAGACCAGTGCCCACAAAGCGGTGATCCAGGGTTTAATTCTTACCCACATCCTGTCCTCCAATCTGGGTTTTGCCTTACACAGTCACCCCGTCTCCTGATCTTGACCTCAGCCAGGACCATGCCCAGCATGCTATGGACTTAAGGGGTAAGTTTTGCCCAAGCCTCAGACAGGGAGGGTCATTCTGCCTGGACACACCGTAGCCCCTTAAGACAGTCTTCTTCTGATTATTTGGGAGCCCTGTGGCCAAGATGATCGGCTCACTTTGGTGGGATTCATTTGGAGCCTGCCAGAGACACAGAGCCCAGTGATGATGGCTTCTGGACCCCAGAGTCCCATTCAGCCACTCCACTAGCTTTCCACTGGTCTTGAAGTTGGTCACTGCACTCTTGGGAGCTGAAGGCTAGTGTGGTTGGTAGACAGCCCTGGATTCTAACTCTGACACTATCTAATGCATAGTGTGACTTTGATCCTGTCTCTCTCCATGTACCTCAGTTTCCTCTTCTGTACCGCTTGAATTCATCATGGTGTCTTAACCTCAGCACTATTGCCTTTTGGGACTGGATAATTCTTTGTTTGTGGGGGGCATTGGAAGAGAGGGTGCTGTGCAATGTGGGAGGTGAGTAGCAGTCCTGGCTTCTACCCACCAGACACCATAGCAGCATGTCCCCTTCCCTTCCTGGCAAACAAAACTGTCTCCAGACATTGCCAAATGTCCTCTCGGGGACACCCCATCTCTGGTTGAGACCCCTAGGTTAAATGATCTCTGAAGACCCTCCGAATGGTCATCCTCAGGACAGGGGCGACCGTTTCTCTTCCCAGCCTGTTCCATGAATGTGGACTGTGTGAATGAAGAGTCAACAAGTGGGCCATGCAGGGACTTACATGTGGAGGGGCCCCCTGGACCTCATGCTGACAGCCAAGGCCAGTTCCCTTTGCTTTCCAGACCTTGGGTTATATAAATTGGGCTGGGGGCCGGGGCTCGGAGTGACGGGGAGAGAGGTCTGTGGTCTGGGCCCACACACTAAGGTTAGTGGCCTTCCAGTGCAGGGCAGCGTGGCGACAAATCATCTATCCATGCCCCAGGACTCAACTCCCCAACTTTCCCCTCTCAGGCTGCCCTGGGAGGGGACCCAGGAAGTGAATCAGCCCACCCACCAAGCAGAGGAGGGAGAGAGGGTGGAGTGTGCTGTCATTAGATGCAAGGTCATGTCTGTGCCGGCCTACCCTGGGTTTTTATTTTGTTTATTCCTCCCAAGTTAGCTGTTTATTAACTTCATCCGCACAATTCCCCCTTCTGACCTTGTTGCTTAATGGAAGGACGGAAGATCTTTGGCAGGGGGAGGGGTTTATTGATGAATAGTAGAGGTAAATTACTGTTCTGGAGATAACAGGCTGTGAGGTTTGGGATAGTACTTACCCAGAATTATTGCTTTGGGGGATTCATTCCTTCATTGAAGAAACTCTGCTCCGGACGTGGGCTGGATGTGGGGCAGGAGAGGGGAAGGAGACAGAGTGCCTGCCTGCAGAACCCCTCCATCTGGGAGGGCAGACAGACGTGAGGCCATCCCTGCAGGCCACTGGGAATGTGCATGGAATGCAGGGAGCAGGGTGTGGGCAGCTTCCCCCAGCTGTCGTGGGGAGTGGGGGTGGGCGGCAGGGGCGACGCACGTGTTTGGGGAGGTGGCGGGAACGGTCAGGGAGCTTCCTGAGAGGAAGATGTGGATTTTTTGTTTTGTTATTTTGTTACTTGCCTTTTTGTTATTGTGGTAAAACATACAAAACATAAGATTTACCATTTAATCATCTTTAAAGCTCGAAATCCACCGTCATTAAGTGTGTTCCCGTTGGTATGCAGCTGTCACCCCCACCATCTGCACACCTTTTTGTCATCTCCCAATTGAAACTCTGAACCCAATAAACGCTAATTTCCTGTTTCCTCCCCCTGACGCTGGTAACCACCATTCTTCTTTCTGTCTTTGTATGAACTCTAGATACCTCCTGCACGTGGAGTCCTGCTGCACTCGCTTTCTTGTGACCGGCTAATTTCACTTAGTACAGTGTCTTCAAGGTTCATCCATGTTGTGGCATGTGACAGAATTTCCTTCCTTTTTAAGGCTGCATAATATTCCATTATATGTACACAGCTTTTTCTTTTTTCTTTTTGAGAGAGAGAGTCTCGCTGTGTCACTCAGGCTGGAGTGCAATGGTGCAATCTTGGCTGGTTGCACCCTCCGCCTCCCAGCATATACCACATTTTGTTTATCATTTGTTACCGACACTTCGGTTCCTTTGCCTCTTGTCTGCTGTGAATAATGTTGCTATGAACATGCAAATATCTGTTTGCATCCCTGCACTCACGTCCTTTGGATGCATGCCCAGAAGTGGAGTATCTGGATCATATGGTGATTCTACGTTTAAGTTTTTGAGAACTGCTGAAGTACTGAGAAAGAGGTGTTTGAACTAGGTTTTAAGGATGAGCGTGGGATCTCTGGGCACCTCAGAGGGAAGGGGAGGGAAGAGGAGGGAAGGGAAAAGCCCAAGCTGCCTGAGGAAACGGGCACCAAGGTGTTGGTACCTGGGGCGGGAGATGAGGACATGGAGGGTGGGAGGGGCTGGGGAGAATATGGAAGGTCTTGCACCCTTCATCCGCCCCCACCCGAGGCTGGAGAACTTGGGCTCTGCCCTGTGGACAGTGAGAAACGTCCGGGGAGTTTTCATCAGAAAGTGAGACAGGCCGATGGTCATCGTAGGAGGACAGTTGGGAGGAATGTCCCAGGTCGACTGAGAGAGAAAGAGGCTTGAGGCAAGAAGACCAAGTAGGAAAAAGCTGGGGGGACCCTGCAGCTTTCGGTGGGGAGGTGGAGGGAGCAGGTCTGAGGGGTGCTTTGCTGCACAAGGGTGCCCAGAATTCTGGGTTGTTGGCTGGGTTGATGGAGGCGCAGCCACCTGGGTAAGCTCACTGGCGGAGCAGCTGGTTTGACAAGGTGAGGAGGACACGGATTTAGGCCTGGGGGCTTTTAAGGGCCCACAGAACCACAGGGAGATGAACTGAGAGGCGAAGAATTGACGAGTGTGCAAAGGCAGTGCAGAGCGGGGTGCCGAGGACGGGGTGAGAAGCCGGTCAAGGGCCAAGGCAAGGACTGCCATCAGGTGACCTGAAGGGCCCTGCAGAGCTGGAGGCCAGGGCATGGGGTGGCCTCTGCTCGGTGTGGCTCAATCCCTGCCCCGGGCATGTCATATCAGTCCACACATTCTCTCAGACAAGCTCGAGGATGTATGCTTGGGTTGGACACTGTGGGTGGAGATCCAGAAGTCAACATGACTCAGTGACGTTAATTTATGTATTCAACCCATCAAGCTCAGAGCGTGGAACCTGGCCAATACCTTTGCACAGCTAAAGACTGCATGGTGATAGCAGGTGTGCAGGAGAAATGGAGTGTGTTATGGAAATGTGGCGTGGGGACATGACAGGCTAGGGCAGGATTTGTCACCTTCGCCCTGCTGACATTTGGGCCAGATAATTCTCTGTCATGTGGGACTGTCCTGTACGCTGGAGGATGTTTACCAGCATCCCTGGCTGTGATGCAACAGATGCCAGTAGCCACAACACCCACTCCCTGTTTGTGACAACCAAACATGTCTCCAAACATTGCCAGATGTCTACTGGGGGGCAAAACCACACCGGGTGAAATCCATTGGTCTAGGCATCAAAAAAGGTTTCTTTGAGATAGTTATGTTAATCTGAGTTCCAGAAGATAGATAGGAATTAATCAGGGTGCAGCAGGAGTGGAGAGTGGAGAGTAATCAAGGCACAAGTTCCAGCAGGTGCAGAGGCCCTGAGGCGGGAGAGAGCCTGGAGGCAGCAGTGAGGAACCTGGTGTCACTTCCTCACTGAATGAGTGGGGAAGGCTTGGATTAGGCGAGCAGTGAGAGAAGGGTCAGATCCTAGGGATTTTCAAGAGGGAACACTCTAGGTTCTGATGACTGAAACGCTTTGGATTTGAGAGTGCTAAGGAAATCCTCCAGGTGCAGAGAATGAAATCGACTAGAAGCTGGTGAATTACATTTGGAGCGTGTTGGGTTGGAGATACCTGGGAGACAGCAGGTGGAGTCCTGAGCTCGGAAGAGAGATCTGGTTGGAGATACACAGTTGGAAGCTATATGCGTACAGGTGATAAGAGAAGCCCTGCGTGGATGGGACAGGCCCAGGTGAGCCTGAGGACTGAGAAGGGGAGCGTGGAGAGCAGGGCCTGGCAGGGAGCAGCAGGAGCGCCAACATTTAGAGATGGAGAGCACGTTCCGAGAGAGAGTGGAGAACCCCAGGGAGAACGGGGCTGTGGAGGCCCGTGGAAGAGGGCTCCAGCCGCAAGGCATGGCCCACTGCAGAGCACGAGCCAGTGAGGTGAGGAATGAGAAGTGGCTGGGCTTTCAGAAGTGCTACGGGGAGAAACCAGACTGAGATGGTTGAGGAATGGGCAGCAGGTGGGAAGAGAGGCAGCTGGCAGACAGTTTTTCCAAAAATGTGTTGGCAGAGGTGAGGAGAGAGTGAAAAAGCCAGAAAGAGAAGTGGGTTAAGGATCTCACTAGGAAGAGTTTTCACCACCCATCTCCCCTGATCTCCTGGTTCCCTCCCTCCTTGGAGGCAACATTAGCAGTCCCACGCACGTGTTAGGAAAGACATACAGATTCTTTTCCCCAGATGGTGGTGCATGCATGCACTCTGCCCCTGAGTCTTAATTTTCCACTTAGCTATCTACTGTAAGGCTTTCTCGTATCAGTACATAGAAAGCTGCTTCTTG